TACTCCCACTGTACGTACAGGCGATTCATCCGAGACACAAACCACCAACCGATGACTGATGGCTGACTTATTTCGTTTCTGAAACAGACAGTATATTCATACGTAGTAACTCTTACTGCACGTTGTTTACATAAAAATTCACCTTGAGGAAATACAGAGCTCGAGCACGCTCCGGAATCGGATAATTGCCGACAGAGAAAATCTCAAGCAGAAGACGGTGCCTGGCTGACTGGCTGGCTGACTGGGGTGACTGGCTGACTCGCCACGGCTGTCGGTTCTCATGACACGACTATGATTATTTACCATGGCCATTTCCATGCGCCGATAATACCAGCTTAGAAAATCTCTAGATCAACACTAACCTAACCCAACCTCACGAAACACACGATACGCATACAAAGCCATTAAAGACCCATCCGAACCAAAAACGGATAATGATTTTTTTTTCTGTTATTTTTGAAAAAAAATTTGTTCTCCAAACGAAATTTCACCAGTCACCCTTAATACGCCCCTGGGACAGGTACGCGCCAAGAGCCTCTTTCGCAAGCTCTAATAAGCACGGGACTCGTTTTCGCTCGGTTCGCTGATCAAGAAGTTTTCTCCACCGACTTTCTTTTTTATCATCGATATCCGCATGGTCGATGTAATCGCAAAATTTTCGGACACCAATTACTTCCGTCCTTTGACCGTTCACTTTTTTTCGCACTGGTATCCACGCGCTGGATATATGATAATTTTCGTTTGCGTAAGATGAGAAATTTTTTTTTTCAAATTTCATATCTTAAAAATTCACGAAATATCGGTCACGATCTGTCTCCGTGGCCATTACCTTCCCTTTCATGCTCAGCTGTTTACGCCGCAGTTAAACACTGGCGTTTATAATAGACCTCCGTCGCTCCTAGCGCCAACCGGAGTCACAAAGGGTATGGGAGCGACACACCCACCGGATGTATTTTATATGCTCGCGCTCTAAGGTAACCCAGGTTGACGTCATCGTCCTATATACAGGGTGCTGCATCCGCGAACTGTCAACCACCTAGAAGTATACCAGCCAAGCAGTCTATGTGTCCTGCACGGACACGTGCACGTATTACGACTGCGTAATATAGGACCACGGGATACCTGGGTGGCCATCGGTAAAAGTTCCTGCGTAGTACGTAGTTCCAATGGAAATGCCGGCGCTCTGTGGCTCGTGAAATGGCGAAGTGTCATTCAAACCCAGCGCCTTGGTTTTTATGCATATGGAATATATTCATAAGTGTCATGCGTGCTTGGCGTAATGGCACGATTCATAATCCTATGGTAAAACGACGTCTGAACTTAAGGGTACAAGAATTCGAGGCTACGTACAGAATGTATATCTATATATAAAAGCAAGACTCGTAAATTAATGGCGTTGAACGGGGGCCGCGTGGCCAGCATGAAATATCGGCGTCTTGTCGCCGATATCTGCCGGTGTAATCTGAGCGGAAACAAATCCGCGGAATGCGTTACCTGCGATAGAGTCGTTTGAATCGCCAGCGGGATCGCCAGGGAACGTAAACGTTTAGCCGTACGATAATAATGGCCCGCGGCCATTTTGTCACGGTTTAGAAGCATGCGGGTATAATGGATATCGTGAAAATGGCAAAAAGTACATAGAAAATGGTCAGACATCTGTACAATTTGAGGTAGGATATAATATATATATTTGTGTAGGTGCGTTTACAATTTAACACGTAACAGTACCTTTCGAACTGTCCTGTTGAGTTTATCCGCCTGTAAATGAAGTAATCTATCCTCCACGACTCAATTACGAGACAATACCGAGATCAGCGTGTTCGCGTCGACAAACGATACCCACGTTGTGCACTCGCCTTTAGTCCCCGTGACGAGGGAGCCGTCGTGTACTCAGCGCCGTCTCGCACGCCACCCGGCGCGTCGGATCTTACCTAGAAGATCGATCGAAGCGCCAAACACGGAGCGTGAGGATTCTTGTAATTAATTTATAACTCAGTACGGTAAACTGCCGCGAGTGTCGCGCCGAGCGCTGGCCTGTCAGTTTAATATTGTAGCAGTTGAGAGTTTCTCGTGTCTTGAAATTTTTTATATTTTTATTATTCGTACAGTCATCCTTACACGTATATACGTATAATTCAACGGTAATATTCTAATGTCACTTCCTGATCTGTCACGAGAATTATATTATGCGATATATTGACTCGCAATGTATTTTCGACGATTTATTTCATTCGTTCTCTACGGCTGCTCGTACTCGTGTTTTTATAAACAGTGGAAAGTTACTCCCGTGTGGCCGCTCTCGGCTTCCCTGTTGCCAGTAGACGCGAATGTAGCCGATCGGAACCCCGACGACCCAGTGAATCCCCGTAGTCGGGATGGTTGGCGATGTCGAGGATAAGCAGGGGCGTGCCATGAAAGTGCAAGTGACGTACACGAACTCTTCGTCGCGGATAACCTCGTACCTCGTGCAACGGTGTCAGATATGCCAAGGGAGAGTGATGTCCTGTCAGTTACATAAATCCATGTAAAATTATATTACAAGTCGGACTTGCGTCACGGAGAATGGCCGACCTGGGTCTGCCACGGTGATCGGGTTGGACTGGATGAGAGACTTGAAATTCCGGGACTGTTTCAATTTACCCTGAGTAAGGTTATCTTGGATAAAGGTAAGGTTAGTTTCTCTATAAAAAAGAAAAGGACGAGTATACCTTTCGTCTGCTTTGTGCGGATACGCTTTGTCTCTTATTATTATTCCTTTAGGCGGCGCTCAAAGGCTGCGGCCCAAACACAAATTAGCACAATGGGCGGTGCAATAAAAGTGTGATTAAACAAAACTCACGGTACCGGTCAGCTAATCAAGGGTCGCTCCCTTCACCCCTTCGCGCTCGATTTCAATTCCCTCCCACGTGGAACCGCTGCAGTTGCAACTTTACGGGTTCGTCTGGCGATGCGAACGACCAAGTGCATACGGAAGGGCCCTCCTTTGCGTTACGATGCACTTTTTGTACGTCCGTCCCTGCTGGTATTTTTTTTTTTTCCATTATCATCCCTGCTTAAACTTTTTAACAGTATCGCTTAACTACTAGCGTTATCGGACATGGTAGTTTCTTTTTAATCCAAAACTCCATGGAACACCGTCCCTATGCATGACGCAATACATGATTCCCAGATACCGTGGGAAAATGCACTTTACACAAATCCATATATCATCCCTCTGTACACTTCGTAAATTATTACAGTAAATTATATAACTTTTCCTCGAATTGGTTCGCATCCCTTTCATTGTCAACCCCCATGAATACAAACCCAGGCATGGATCAGCCTTCCCATATGCACTGCGGGGCACATAAGTGCCGTTAATAAATCAAAGCAGCAAGGAATGAACGTAGAGAAGTGAATGCATTAGCAAACAACGCGCCGTTCATAAAGGACAATTAAGAGTCCTCGCACGTGAATTGCGGTTAATTTATGTGTTTACACCGTAAACGTCAGTCCCCGTCTATTCGTACAGGGTGGTCCCAGGGGATGGCACCCCCGTGTCATATTCCATCGCATTATGATTTTGGTTAACGAGTGTCCATTTAAGTAACCCCCTCAACCCCATAAATATTGTGCCGTTTGAATAAGGCCTTCGCAGCCACCTTTCGAGACTCCATTCTGTATCCGCCCGGCCGTCGGGACGCCTGCGAACCAGCATGGGCGTCCGGCGGATTTTCGCACGTCGCTTAAGCACGTTTCCTCTCTTGAGGCTGTCGTGTTATGGTTACACCGTACACGCATCATGGGGGCGGATAGACGTGGGCGGCGGCCGACACCTAAGCACACCGTATAATCGTTACAACGTGCTCTGCGCGCGATACTAAACCATAATGTTTATAATATAGGAGATGCGTATATATATATATACGTAACGGAGCCACATGCTCATCGGAGACGCAGACAGACTGGCTCCTGGTCGCATCCAACAGGGATTTTCGGTGGGAAATGCACGCGACGCCGGGCGTCGCGACGCGCTCGATCGAACCACAAACAATATTTGAACAAGCAGCAAACTGCACCCCCATTGCCATAAAACTCAATTTGTATCCCCTTGTTTGCCAGGGCATCGATAGGGGATGCAGGGGGGG